CGTGTATCTGACGGACAAACACCAAACCAGTTCCACATCACTGAAGTTGCACCATTTTTACAAACCAATTCTGGTTCATCTGTTTCACTCCACAATCGGCCATGTGCATATGAAAACAAAGCCACTGCGCATGCGCGTTTCACTCATATTCTATCGCGATATTTCATTTTCCTATCGTTGCCTAACATTATACCGGTATTACTGTGAACGGTATAATATGGCCCAGCCCTACCTACACGTATGCATAGACTCTTTGTTCACATGCATGCCTGTGTAAGATGTCATATGTTAATGGACCTATGCATATTCATGTAACCACAATAAAGAGCAGTGCTACGGGGGAGCTGACTGAGAGCGACTGGGGTGTTCGAGCAGCAGGAACAGCGCTCGTCTCGTCCTCCCCCTCGTGCACGAGCTCACACAGAGCTCTGCCTGCTGTCCAACGCTGTTGCCATTGTAGCAGAATTGTCTCTGATTGTTCCAGCAATAGGTCTGTGCTAGACAAGCCTCTCACACAGCGTCAGAGCTAGACGCAGCGTACGCAACAAAAACACATGTAGACGTTTTCACGCACACGCACAGACACACACACATGAACAGACATGCACAGACACACATGCACACACACGCACAGACGCACACACATGCACTGACATACACGCACACAGACGCACATGCACACAGACGCACACACATGCACAGACATGCACGCACACACATGCACTGACATACACGCACACAGACGCACATGCACACAGACGCACACACATGCACAGACATGCACGCACACACATGCACAGACACATGCACACACACGCACAGACGCACACACATGCACAGACATACACGCACACAGACGCACATGCACACACGCACACAGACGCACATGCACACACGCACAGACATGCACAGACACACATGCACACAGACGCACAGACATGCACAGACACACGCACACACAGACGCACGCACACACACGCACAGACACACGCACAGACATGCACAGACAGACACAGACACACGCACAGACATGCACAGACAGACACAGACACACACGCACAGACAGACACACACGCACAGACACGCACAGACAGACACAGACACGCACAGACAGACACACACACGCACAGACATGCACAGACAGACACAGACACACACGCACAGACAGACACACACGCACAGACACGCACAGACATGCACAGACAGACACACACACACAGACATGCACAGACAGACACAGACACACACGCACAGACACACACGCACACATGCACAGACACACACGCACAGACACACGCACACAGACATTGTGAGAGTTACACCAACCACCTGACATGTTTTATTGTTTGACAGCATCCCATTACCATGGTTACTCACCAACACATTTCTCAGCCGCAACATTAGGACGCAGCTCCGCCTCCTTTGCCTCATTTTTTTGTTAGCCCAATCACAGCTGCAGCCTGCAGGAACTGATGCTGTGATTGGTTGTCAGGGTGAGGGTCGTTCAGACTTCGCCCGGTGACCGTCATTGGTCCAAAGAACGCTGATCACCTGAGCGCTTAAACACACCTGGATGTGTATCTCAGCACAGCCGGCACTTTAACCTTTGACCTGAGGCTTGGTTTGGTGCGTTTGTACGGTTCCTCCACTCACGCCTGTCTTCCTCTCGCTCTTTCAGAATCACCGATGGAAACGAATACCTGTTCCAAGCCAAAGACGAGGTGAGTTTGATTTTTGCTCAGATTCGTGGAAGCGCTCACCTGTGTGGCGTTCCTGCTTAACTGCTTACGTGCCTCCGCAGGAGGAGATGAGTACCTGGATCCAGGCCATCCTGAACGCCGGCGCCGCAGACCGCTCTGACATCCAGGGCAGCAGCCCCGGCACGCCTGCCTCCGGGCATGCTCACACGCTGCCGGCCACCATCACGCTCACCACCGAGTCGAGCCCCGGAAAGCGCGAGAAGGACAAAGACAAGGAGAAGCGCTTCAGCCTGTTCAGCAAAAAGAAGCAGTAGAGCGCGGCGGCGAGGCGCTTTGGCGAAACCGCCCAGGTGCTCTGACGCACCCATCGCCACATTTACAGGCGCCTCATTTCTCATGGGCCGCCATCAGCCAGGGAGAACTGGAGGCCGCCTCAGAGCGCTGCCAGCTTCCTGAAGATCGACTTGGAGCGGGTGAAACCGCCATCTCTCTGAGGCTGGCGAGCCTCAGTCCTCCCCGCTGAATGGTTCACCTTTAAAATCGGCCAATCCCAGAGACTGAGGCGGTGGAGACGAGGAGCAAAGGAGCGTTTCGCCAAAGCCCGCCGTCGCCTCATTTTTGTGCGTTCTGCATTTTTGTTCGCGTGTCGGTCGTTTTTTGACGGCGAGTCGGAGTGCCTGATGTAACGCTGTGTCATCGTTGGCGAATGAGGCCGCTGTCGCCGTGTGCATTACCGGCCGTGACATCATCACTGCATCTCGCTCTTTCTTTGATGACATCATCAGGGACCACACGCTAATGTTCTGTTATTGTTTGTTTTTTATTCTCTGAAATTTGTTATTTTTCTATTTTTTGTCGTTTCCTCGTCACAGACGCCGTTTCCTGCCGCGGAGAAATTGGACCAACAGTGCATTTCATTCCAATAATTTCTGTTTTCGTTTCTCTGCAGCCATGTTGTTTTTGTCAGACAGCCAATCGCCTTCAAGGAGGTGGTGATTTAGAAACGTCCACCTGCATGCTTCATCAGGCTCCGACCTGAGCGCGAAACTGCGACTTCCTTGTTTTGTATCTCTGGTCAGGTGGTGTCGGCGAGGGCGGAGGGAGCTCGCCGTCCCGCCGACGGGAGCGAGGTCCAGACTGGTGAAGGTTGCTTGCTCGTCATCGGCTCTTCGCACCACGCTGATTTCTGCTCTTTGATACCCGTGCTGCCCCGTCACTGTAGATCTATCGTAGCGAACATGTATGGAAGCCCCGCCGTCGTCCTGCACAATCAGAGCTGCACCAATAGGAATGAAGACGCTCGCCGATATTTAGCCGACCTTCGATCATTACAGCTTCTCATGTATGAACCTGCACCTGTAGACTTACAGCTCTCTGTCACATATGTGTGATGTCATTAAAGCTTTTAACCTTTACTCAGTAGCTTCCTGTTGTCTTTGCACGTGCTCAGTTAGAAACCCGCACAGACCCGAGGCCCCCCCCTTCCCCATCTGTATCTGCGTGTGTCTGCCTCTGTGGTGTGTGTGGGGGGGGGAGGCTGGTCCCTGGTTTAATGCTGGGGGCGGTCCCTTTTTAAATCTCCAGGTCCACTGAAGTTTTCATTGGTTGTGGCCTGCAGGTGTTAGAGCAAACAGGTGAGTTACAGATATAGTTCCTGCCCAGTGATGACGCTCATTGGAGGGTTCAGGTAAATCTCGCCTAACGTGGCATGGATGCAGTGAGCTGCTCGTTAAAAACACTACCCCCAGCATGCACTGCGGCTGTACGCTGAATCAGACCGTACCTGCTCAGAGGCGGGAAGCTCGCAGAGGTGTCCGCGAGGGAAACCGGAAGCTGTGACCTTCAAAAGAAAACGGAGGATTCTGGGAAAAAAAATCGGATTAAGCGTCAGATTTACTACCGTCCTGCGCATGCGCAAACTGTTTTAGGGTAGAGAAGTGTTTAGAAAGCGTGCAGAGAGCTCAGAGGTGTTTGTTCATCACGGAGAAAAACAGGGAAGAGCAGGTCACTACTCACTGCGCCTGCGTGCAGAAAACTGCGGACCTTAATCCTCAGCACACCTGTGAGCGCGGGTTCACACTGAGTTTAGAGTACAGCTGTGTTTTCCTACAAACATTTAGATGTCTGTGCAGGTAAAGGTTTTTTCAGAAATAAAAGATTAAAAAATAAAAGTCTTTATGTTGTGAATAAACATGTCAAATTCATAACTGGATGAAACTGTGAGATTTTTTTTTTTAAAAGGTGCTGATGTGTGCACGCCCCCCTGTCGAGGGCTGCAGAACTGCTGCAGAATCTGAACCAGACTCCTGCATGAGCTGCAGTCACGTGATTGGACTCGCACCTGCAGATGCACATCGGCTGCATGCGCACGCTGCTGACCAAGTTTCAGGTGGTGACCTCCAGGTGACCTCAGACCAGACAAGGTTGTCCATAGTCTGGGAGCTGCTGGTTGGAGGACTGGTTGCTGTTGGGTCATTGCGTGTATTGAACCACATGAAGGCCGTCAGGAGAAACTAGCTTCCTTTTATTTTTGCTGAGCTGGAAAAACCCTTTCAGATTAGTCTGACTTCCTCTCAGCATCTGATGACGTCTGACTGTAAACGTCACAAAGACACATTACATATTTAAGCTATACTAAAGGTGAAGTGAATGAGGGCGTAAATAAATGAAAGGCTTTTAAAAAAGATGTAAGCCTCATCGTGAGATAAGAAGCTGAAGCATATGTGTGACGTGATGACCTCTCAGGCGTTATTCGTTATTTTTGTGTCTCTTAGTCACAAACGGAGAGAAGAGCTCGTGTTTGCTCCAATCCTGCTATGAATGAACGATAAATGCGATGCTTTGTATCTGGTGCTTTTATTTTGAAGGTGACCGCGGGAAGCACGGGGTTTCACGGTTTCCGGCTTGATGCTTTCGGCGGTCCCGTTAGCGCTCCGTTCTCGGGTCGCCGTTTTTCACGGTTTTAGGGCTGCTGGTGACCGGTGCCCGAGCAGGAGCGCCGGTGCGGGCGGGTGTGGACGGTCGCGGGTAGATGTGCGCAGTAATCTGCGGATCGGCGCAGACGGCGGAGGATTTGCTGTGATTTAAATCTGTGCCTGACGGACGGAGGCCGGGAGGAGCCGCTAACGGTGACCCGATCCGGTCTGTCTGCTGCGGGTCAGAATTAAAACGCCCACAAACAGCTCGAAGTTACATTTCCGGGAGTGTCTCTGAGGTCGGACATGGAAGCTGGAAACGTCAGGGTTTAGACCGCCGCCTTTTATTTAGTTAAAACACATAAACTCACTGTTAAATTTTCATCAGCTGAATTTGGTCTTTATGATTTTGAAATTCTGTGATTTTGTCTCAGGTCGTCTGAATTTAGCAAACATTGATTTTATCTCAGCAGCACTCAGTTTATTCACAGTCGTTCAGGTTTCCATCATCATAAAATCCACCTGAGCCAGTCTTCAGGTGAGCAGTTGTGTTCAGGTGTCGGTCAGAGGTTTCTGGCCCCGGCGCTGACTCCACTCGGGATTTTTACTGTGAAAAGCGCAGAAGAAGACCCTTACAACCTTCCTGCTGACACATTAGTGAGCGGTGCCAAAGCTGCCTCTGGAATCATGGGAAGTGTAGGCAAAGAGACTACAGGGATGGACGGCAGTTCCTGGCAGCGTTAGCGGCTCCAGCAGATACATTTCTCTGAGACGGTTTTTCTGTGGATGTTTGAGTTTGTGGGTTTAAGCAGACATGTCAGATAAAACAGCGCCGCGCTGCCAGCTGAGGCTGGAGTGGATCCACGGGTACCGGGGCCACCAGTGCCGAAACAACCTGTACTACACAGCTGGGAAAGATGTGGTGTACTTCGTGGCCGGGGTGGGCGTGGTCTTCAACACCAGAGAGCACACACAGAAGTTCTACCTGGGACACAACGATGACATTATCAGGTGAGGAGGAACCCTGTGACGGTGCTGGTGAACTCTGACGCCATGCAGGCGGGTTTTAGGATTTAAAGGTCGGTCCATCAGCCGCTGGATTCAACGTCTAGAGAATGTTCAGTTAGAACCTCGGATTCAGAAGACCGGTGTGGTTCTCGCTCAGGTTGCAGAACAGCTCTTTACTTCTTGAGCAGTTTGTCCAGCTGATTTGACCGCATTCTGCAGGGTGTCCTATAAGGGGCGCTTCAGGAGTGCGGGGTATCGGGCCTGTTGGGTTCACCTCACGATTCTGGTCTCATTTCTGTCAGAGATGACAGAATTTGTAAGCGGATACAGATGATGAAGTATTTTGGCTTCGATGGTTTCTGGACCTCGTTTCGGTTCTCCCTCACTTGACCTCCTGCTCACAGAGGTCCTGGTCATCGGCTGGAGGACGAGTTTAGGTTTCCCAGAGTATGTTCACAGTGAGGGCAGGGTGGAGCAGGAGGTCGACAGATGAATTGAAAGTGAAGCGATCTGTTTACTGCTAGATCTACGTACTTGTGCTCACCTGTGACCACAAGCTCCCTCTGAAGGTGTCTAGGCTCAGGCTCAGAGATGCTGTGAGGGTTCGGTGTTTCAGGTAGAGCTCAGAGTAGAGAGGAGTCTGACCTGGACCCTCCTGGGGAGGTGTGTCACCTGGAGGCCCCGGGGCAGATCCCCGGCATCTCGGCTGGTTTGGGAACATCTTGGTGTACCTCTGGAGGAGCTGGAAAGGGTTTCTGAAGCTAGTCTGAGGATGGAAATTGGACGTAAATACTTAGAATGGCATTCTCTTGAACATCCAGCAGGGGGCGACTCCTCTGGCCCAATTTATATAGAAGTCTGTGAGAAAAGGAGCTGATATGTGAGCTCCGTGAACACCTGAGAGACGGTTTCTGGTCTCAGGTTTTAGGCGTGACTGACGCAAACTGAAACTTGTTTTGTGAATTTTGCTCATTCTTGGTGATATAACGGAGGATTATGTGGGTCTGCTCGTGGGCTGACAGATGTTTGATGGTCTGCGCAGTCGGGTTCAGGATTGAAATAAAGATTAGAGTTAATTTACAAAAGAGAATCTGCCACAGTCCACGGCAAAGCTGCAGGTAGTGCCATCGTGTGAGTGTGGAAACTTTAATATCTCCAGAGTCCAGGAGAAAACTGTTGTGTCAGCTGTTGTGTTTACGTGCCCTGCAGCACTTTGTCAGTGTTCACTGGATCTGGAGCGACACGTCAAACCCGTGTGCTTAAATTCGTCCTGACTTCCTCCTGCTCAGCATTTTGTTTCAGCTTTAACGCAGTTCAGAACTTCCTTTGGAATCTGTCTGTTTTTAGGTTTCCTTCAGTGTTTGTGATGCTCTGCAGACAGGGGGCGCTCACACCCAGTTCAGCTGTTTTAATGGGACTCTCTGATTGGAGGACCTTTAAAAACAGAAAGCCACTGCATGTCTGTAACCATCACAAAAACCAGCATTAAGTGCTTACTTCCACCAGCCCTGAGGCGTGTTGGTGAACACACGTGTGTGCTGCTGCGTGTCCGCCCCCCTTCACAGATGGCCGGGTGGCCGCTGAACGATTAAAAGCTTCATCAGCAGCTGCCAGGTCAGCCCTAGTGATGAGGTCACAGTGTGGAGACAGGAAGTCGAGCTCAGCCGTCGGTCGCTGTGATCGGTGTCAGAACTGCTGACTTCTTCTTCTTCCTTTCTCAGTCTGGCCATGCATCCTGATAAGATCCAGGTGGCAACAGGTCAGGTGGGGAAGGACCCGTACATCTGTATCTGGGACACGTACGCCATGCAGACGGTGTCCATCCTGCGGGACGTGCACACCCACGGAGTGGCCTGTCTCGCCTTCGATGCTGATGGACAGGTAACGATGTTACCGACACTCTAACCACCCGTCTCAGATTAAAGTTTTAACAATTAAAAAAATAAAATCTTTGAATTTGAATTAAAACTTTATCAGTAGCAGCAGTTTTACAGCAGCTTTGTATGAGTCGCGCTTCAGAATAATCCTCCTGTGTCTGACACCTGCTGCTTTAGCTCCTCCTGCTGTAAGATAACTTTCCTGTCATTGGCTGCACCTCATCAACAAACACAAGCAAGTGGGCGGGGCTTTTGGCGCCTCTCTGTGACATGACACTGACCCACTGTTGAGAGATTACTGCGAACACTGAGCTCGTCAGTAGGAGCTCTACATTTAGTGTGAACGCACACGGCCAGACCAGGAGATGTGACAGGAAGTGAGGCGAAGGCGAGTGGGTCACCTTTACGTTTCATCGTAAAGGTATCGTCCAATCACGTTCCCTCTTTGTTTCTGTTGCCATAGCGACTGGCCTCAGTCGGCCTGGATGCCAAGAACACGGTGTGCGTCTGGGACTGGAGAAGAGGACGTGTCCTCGCCACGGCCACCGGACACTTGGACAGAGTACGTGCCGGCGCACACGCGTTTACCTGCAGGCGTACCTGAGGAGTAACGCCGCTCTCGCTTTTCCCACAGATCTTCGACGTGTGCTGGGATCCGTTCCAGGCCGGCCGGCTGGTCAGCTGCGGAGTCAAGCACATCAAGGTGGGGCAGCACCTGGGTGGTCACATGACGGAGGGGTTCACAGGCAGCTGCGGGTGCTGGGATCAGCCGCACATCATCCCGCCTGCAGCGGACGATGTGCGGCTGAAAAGTACAGGAGACGTTTAAACCCGGTGATGATTTCGACCTCACACCTCTGTCACGTACAGAGCTGTGCAAAACTCTTGAGCTGCTCCTCACTCTGTGCAGCATCAGGTAATGTTCAGATGTTGACTCACAGGTGGGTGAGAGAAGGAAGACAGGACAAAGACATGCTGTGGAAGAGAGACAGATTAATAACAGGTATGATTCAGTGCGGAGAGGTCTGTAACACATAGTGAGTGAAGAAGAAACACCCAGTGCATCATGGGAATCCCCGGCAGCCTGCACCTGTTGCAGCGTCACTAAGGGAGGATTCAGGGTCACAGCTTGTTTGAGTTGTAAAAACTGATTCTTATTTTCCTGCGACAGATAAAGAAGTGTGGGGGCTCAAGACTTTTGCACGGTCCTGTGTGGGGTTGAAATGGTCCTTCTACTGCTCGCCGTCGATAACCTACTCAGCACGCCAGCATGGCTGGCACCACTTCCTGTGCTAATCTGCGCCCTCTCTGTTTCCTGTGTGCGTAGTTTTGGACTCTGTGTGGGAACGCTCTGACTCCGAAGCGAGGGATTTTTGGGAAAACGGGCGACCTGCAGACCATCCTGTGCGTCTCTGCGGCCAAAGACGAGCTCACATACTCCGGCGCTCTGAACGGGGACGTTTACGTGTGGCGAGGACTCACGCTGATGAGGACCGTACAGGCTGCACACGGGGTACACACACACACACACAGCTTTACCTGTAAAACAGGTGGAGCTCGAGAGCAGCATCCACCCTGATGGAAACGCTTTCTCCTCCAGGTAACGCGAGGATCAAACATGGCCGACCTAACCCGAGCAGGTGATTAACCCACAGCTGCACCTGTGCTGGGAAGGGGCTGATGGGAAATGTGTTGTTCTTCTGCAGGCGGGGATCTTCAGCATGCACGCCTGTGAGGAAGGATTCGCCACCGGAGGGCGAGACGGCTGCATCAGACTGTGGGATGTGGACTTCAAACCCATCACAAAGATCGACCTGAGGGAGGCGGAGCAGGGCTACAAAGGTCTGATCTGGTCCCCTCTGTCACACCGGGGTCACTCAGGGGTCACACCGCGGTCCACCTGCTCAGGGTCGCCTCTGCTTTGGTTTTGTATTTGATCAACCACAGCGGCAAAAAAGTCGTCAGTGCTTCACAGAAAGTGAATCTACAGCAGGCTGAGTCTTACCTGCTGCTCACCTGGCTCTGGCAGAGACGCCGGATTCCCAAATCACATGTGATCACATTTATTATTAATAATAATAATAGTACATGTTATTTAAAAGCGCCTTTAAAACACCCAAGCACACAGGTACAGCAAATAAAACAGGCATAAAAACGTGAGCTGTACACAATAATAAGCGTAGCAGATAAAAAGATCATGGATGATTTATATGGAGTAGGCGGTCTTAAATAGGTGGGGTGGTGTCGAGGGGGAATTCCAGGGTCGAGACGAGAGGAACAGAAAGAGATGTATGCCTTACATGTATGGAGGAGTATTTAAAATGAATGGCAGATTTGACCGGGAGCAGTGAAGCTGCTTCAGGACAGGCGTGCTGTGATGTCCTCGTGACAACACGGGCAGCAGAGCTCTCGACACGTTGAAGCGTACTGATGGATTTTTGTGTTACAGTAGTCGATCTGAGACGCAGCAATGTGCTTGTTAAATGTGAGTTCTGTGATTGGTGGCGCCCGTCCCAGAGTTTCCTGTTTCCTGTCTCAGGTCTGTCGATCCGCAGCGTGTGCTGGAAGGCCGACCGCATCCTGGCCGGGACTCAGGACAGTGAAATCTTCGAGGTGATGGTCCGAGACCGGGACAAACCAGTTCTACTGATGCAGGGTCACAGCGAGGGCGAGCTGTGGGCGCTGGACATGCACCCCAAACAGCCCGTCGCCGTCACCGGGAGTGACGACCGCTCCGTGAGGTCGGTCCAACTGCACCGCAGACCGCTCACGCCCTCCCGCTCACCTGGTGTCCTCCTAACCTGTTGCTCACCTGTGTCTCAGGCTCTGGAGCCTTCCTGACCACACTCTGCTGGCTCGCTGCAACATGGAGGAGTCCGTTCGAAGCGTTTCTTTCAACAATGACGGTTCTCAGCTCGCTCTGGGCATGAAGGATGGCTCGTTTACGGTGCTGCGTGTCAGGTGACCTCTCTTACCTGTCGATAAGATTATGTACAGGTGTGTTATCGCCTCAAATTAAACAGGAGCTTAAAGCAGATCTGTGACCAGCGAGCTCAGGGAAGCTGACGTCTGCGTTAACAAATGCTGACGTGGAAAACTGTTGGCGGCCTCGCACTTCCTAAATCTCTGCGGTAACGGTCACAGGTAATGGACCCCACTGATCACGATCGGGTCCTCTTTGTGATAAAGACCACTTCCTGCTATGTGACAGCGGTCTTTAAGCAGGTTAAACATAATTGGCGTGTGTTGCTGTGGTTCTTAGAAATGGGCGGGGTTAAAAGGCTAAGGTGGTGGTTTACCATCCGTGCTCCGGTTAGTGAGGCGTGCTAATGCGTGTGTTTGTGCAGGGACATGACAGAGGTTGTGCACATCAAGGACAGGAAGGAAGTGATCCACGAGCTGAAGTTTTCTCCGGATGGTTCTTTCCTGGCGGTCGGGTCCAATGACGGGATGGTGGACGTGTATGCCGTCGCACAGCGCTACAAGAAGGTAGGCGAGTGCAGCCGCTCCGCCTCCTTCATCACCCACCTGGACTGGTCGGTCGACAGCCGCTTCCTGCAGACCAATGACGGTGCCGGGGAGCGGCTCTTCTACAGGATGCCAGGTACACAGGAACACCTGAGACTTGGTTTTGTCCTCCCGGTTTCCACACAGCTGTGGTCTTCAGGGGACAAAAATGTCCCCACTTCATTTTAGCGTGTTTTAAATTAGTATAAATTGTCAATCAATTCAGCGTTACAGTTTGACTGAAGACATTAACACAAAATTTACCCAACATTTGACATTTTAGGGCCACCAGACCTTGTTTACATAAAGTACACTTTGTTTTTGAGCGAAAATAAAACGAGACAATAAAATATTTCATCCATCCATCCATTCGCTTTCGCTTATCCTTTTCAGGGTGCGGGGGGCGCTGGAGCCTATCCCAGCTGTCATAGGGCGAGAGGCGGGGTACACCCTGGACAGGTCGCCAGTCTGTCGCAGGGCA